CTGGTCACTTGTGCATTCAGAGGCACACATTGAATTTACAAAACAGTTCTCATTCAACACTTATTTTCCRATTTATTTTGACCAAAATTGTTGTGTCACTTCCTCCTCAGTGTAACCTTGCAATTGTCATAGTGACACATGTTCAARCTGAACCTCTCATCAGTTGATTTCAGCAGCTTATTTTGTCTCCAAGCCCGTCTGAGGTTGGAACAACTATCTTCACAGAGTCCTCTGTGTTAGCCTGGTCCAGGTCTCTGGCTGATGGTTATATTAGGCACTGTGATGTACTGTTCCTCAGATCCTGACTGATGTCAATGATTTTTGGTTTAAGTAAGATMGCTGTTCTGGCCCTGTGATGGTGTATCACTGTGGTCCAGAAGAACAAGACGATACTTCCTAGTACCTTTGGCTCTGAGCAAAATATTTTTGATATCTTAATAGATGCTTTGTTGTTTCTTTGTTTTGCCAATGTGGSCCATTTATTTATGTCTGGCATATAGTATTGGCACTATTTAAATATATTTGTGTTTTTTGTTGTATTGTATCATCTGCATTTTCTGGGTATGATTTCTGTGTACAATTTTGTGTGGTCATTAATGCCTTGCAGTAAACACATTCTCACTCCATGCATTATGTTATGTCAAGATGAGAAGAATGTAAAACATGTTAACATTTCTGTTCATAATGAGTTTTTTTTTCCTAAGGTGAAGCTGTATTTATTCCTAACAGTTGTTTCATAGGTATCTTACACTTGTATTACCTCCCAATTGGAATATTGCAACTCTTTGTATGCTAGTGTTTGCTAGGCCAGCCTCTCACAGCAGCAAATAATTCAGTAAACTGCATATTGTATTTTAATAGACACAAAAGTGAAAACATGTCTTCTTGTTMCATCCTTCCCTTCATTAGCTGCCTTTGTATTACCCGACCTATGATGTCTTTAAATTACCTATTCATATCCATCTGACCTCTTGCAGTCTGACTTGCTTTGTAGATCACTTAGATCTAACAAATATTTGGWTTTAGTGATTCCAAGGTTCAGGCTGGTCCATAGATGTGATCAGTACTTTATAGTTGTAGCTCCTKAATTGTGGAACCAGCTGCTACTTCATACTGGCTGTCTACTGAAGTTCCTTCTTAAAATAACTTGTTACTTACTGAATTATAATACAGCATGTAAGCTGATGTTTTCTCCTTTTGGAAAGTTTCATTGTGTTTCTTGTCATGATTTCAATTGTTTGTTTTCTTGAACTATATTTGTGAAACAACTTTTTATGTGTGTGTAACGCTTTGGCCAAGAGCAGGTGTTTTTAAATGTTCTTTCATATTAAATTTGGTTTGATGTAACACCTACTGCCAGATTTATTTGCTCTATGAAAACTTAGGCTATGCTCCTATATGCTACAGACTTAGTCKTCTATGTCTGCTACTGTTTTATTTGTGTTTGTACTCACAGAACATTTTTTGTCCTGMTACAACCCTACTGGGTTCTGAACATTCATAAACTTCAGCGTGTCARGTACATGCAGCTCAGTCTGGTTACCTGTGCATTCTGCTTTACACATTAACAAGTCTTTAGGCAAGATAAACCTGAAACATTTGATCCTAACAAAAGTTTGCAATGTTTACAGTCACATTGGGCCTCATGCAAGAACCGTTCGTAAGCACAGATTTGTTCTTAAATTG